TCTATGGTCTGCTGGGGGTAATAATATAGTGTAAAGCGCATAGAACCTGCTGTTGAGCGGGGTTGTGCGCTATACAAATGCTATTTATTATTACTGTGCATAAAAACATGTTAATTCCCCCCCTTTGGGAAAGGCCTTAAGACAACTTCAGTCAGTAGCACTACCCTGGGGGGGAGGAGGGGACGACTACACAGAAACAACGCCACAGATCCTCACCCGCAGACATAGACTTCAGCCCGTGGCAGCGTGGACAGACGCACAAGTCTCACTGTCGTCCTCACAGCCTCCGTCCTGTCCGTGTCATCGTCCTTGCCGCGCAGAAACTGCTCCCGGAGGGCAGAGAACTCCTGCTGGAAATCTCTGTTGACGGGAGTAAAGGAAAATGCTGTTTTGTTTTCTATTTGTACGTCTAGGTTTCTCTTTTACGCCCCCAATGACACAATTAGGACCCTTAACTCTTTATCTCCCGCTAGTCACCACTCCCGGCAGCTTGTGGTCGGAACTGCTGAGTCGGTGAACAGCTGACAGTGGCTCGGGCCAATTCTTTCACGACAACTTCCACATCAAATTACTTCTTGGCTATTACCGTAAACAGGTCTTTCAATTACGTTTTAGTAAGAGTTTTACGGCACTTGCAACACAATAAAGTCATATATAAGTGCCGAAGATTAGAGGTGTTACAAGAGAGTAACAAACACAAAAAGGAGGAGAGATCAGGACGATGGATGTTTGATAGGAAAGAAGGAGCAAACCACACCAGAGCATCCGCCAACCACCCACTTGGACGGGAACAGAGACAAAGTTTGATATGTTTTCTAACTCAGGGATGTCATATCTCCGGTTTTTCCGGCTTTTTCTGGGTTTGTTCATCTGTGGCAACAAAGGGCCCCATACACTTGATGGGTAAAGAAAGGGGAGAGGTAAGAGAGATGTTTTTGTTGGCTCATTTAAAAAACTGTACAAGATTCGTTTTAGGTGAGATGTGACGCTCATTTTTATAAAATCATTTGGCTCCCCTGCTAATCTTTTAAATAACCTAACAGTGTTGATAGAGGCGTTAAACCTCTATACCATTTTTTCATGAAAAACCCACCAAAGCCGCCACTACTTACTCACCTGTTACATAAGAAGACATCCTTATCTTCGGGCACGCCCACAATCTCCACGGCCACGACCTCGTCCCGATCCAGCCCCGACACGCGGTCAGCCGTCGTCCACGTGGGGAAGCTGGTGAGCAGGCCGGGCCACACGTTCTTGATCTCCGCTCGGTGCGTCTCCTCATCCAGAACGAGCTGCGTCGACTGCCGGGACAGGAAGTCGCAGTTCGCTCCCCTGACCTGTTGGGTCGTCTCCGGCACGTAGAGATCGGCCAGTACCACGTGTTTGTCCAGGGCTTGTCGGAGGAGAACAACGGGGAGGGAGGAACACGGCGCGACAGATCTAGCTCTGACTCCGGCGTCCGTGCTACAGGAGAGGTAGGTCTGCTGAGGTTCCAGACGCTTTTTCAGCTCGGAAAATAAGTCGCCGACGAATAACTGCACGCACGGTTCGATCATCCGGCTGTCTGTCACATCTACGCCGTCTGTACTCTCGTTGTTATCCACGGCGTCACGGTTTTGTGGGGACTCGATGGAGAATTTCTGCAGTTTGTTGCAAAAGTTGTTCAACTTTGTGTTAAAACTGCCGTCTGTTTCAGAGTTCTCCAGTTTTTCATCCGCTGAAGCAGAAGATGAATTGAGAGATTCCAAACCAACCAGAGACAGAGAGTCGTTCGGGCAATGTCCTCTCGCAGGAGAGCCAAGGTCAGATTCAGAGAACGAGCCATCACTGCTGTACGTGGAATTTGTGGCTCGATATTCCCACAAGTCCGACTTCTCCGGATCTTTTTTCACCGAAGTCTCACCGTGAGCGACCGTTTCCTCACCCACCCCACCCACAGATGGGGACTTCGTGCTGTCACAGGCGGGTTCTGAGAGTTTGGGTGTCGACGAAATCTGATGGGCGGCTGGAGGGATGATATCGCTATCATGTGTTTGAGAAGACAGGAGACAATCGTCTGATAAAGAAGAACCAGACAATAAAGACGAGGAAGAAGAAGATGACGACGAAGATTTTGCGTCTCCCACGGGCGGGGTGTGATATCCCCGATTCAAGTCTGTCTCCGTCTTGGCACTCACCGGGGACAGAGCCAGATCTGGGGAAGAAGAAGCGTCTCGTCTCGAGTGACCGTCTTTTGCGCTCGTGTCTCTCTCCACGAGCTTTGAATTATTCCTGTTGGCGCCGGGCGAAGACACGAACTGTTCGTTCTCTTTGTTTTCGCCATGGTCACTCTTCGGCAGTACGGGCTTGCTGGGAGAGAAATAATTCTTGATTTTGGCGAGACCGCCCCACAGGAAGGACAAAGTCCCCGGGGGAGACGGCGCGACAGACGACGGTGACGACGACAGTTGCTGTTGCGGCACTGTCAGACGTCGCTGCTCCCCCGCCTCCTCACCGACACCCGCACCCTCCTCCCACGCGTGCTCTCCCTCACTGTCCGACGAACTCTCCGCGGAGTGGAAGCTGTCGCGATCGCTGTCCCCTGCCCATTTCCCCTCGGAGTCCGGGTTGTGGAAGAGAACGTACTCCCCGCCCACACTGTAGTTCGGGGCGGCCGTGAACTGACAGCGGTGCAGAATGGCGTGCACCTGGACCAGCACACGCTGCTTCAGGAAGAACAGCTCCAGCTTGCTGAGACCCACCTCCGAGCTGAGGTCGGCGAACGCGTCCAGGAAGGGCCAGTACTCCTGCCAGCTAACCAGGTGAGCTTCCGCAAGCTCTCTGTGGGAAGAGGAAAAAAAGCCATTAGCTAAAGTTGTTTTTTTTTATAGTAAAGGGTTTTACGGCGCTCGCAACAGCATAAAGTCATGTGTGTGCCAAGGGGTGGGTGTCAACAGAGAAGTCTTTACAGGGAATCAGACTTACTCTGCTCACCTCTCTAGCTTCAACAGCACAATGTCTGCTTCGACTATCAAGGCACCCTGGAAATAGCAGGTCACAAGAGAGTGACAAAAATACAAAAGAAGTAGAGGAAAATGACAATAGTAAGGATCAGGAAAGAAAAAGCAGCAGTTCCCTGTTGTAGATCAGGCAGTTATGAGCGTGACATGAGTCAGCCCATTTACAATTCTACTGTGCTTGAACGAGAAATGTCCCCGCTTTCGGAATGGTCTAAAGACGCTACAGTCAGAGGCACTACCCTGGGAGGCTTAGCTAAAGTTGTGTTTTGAGTTTTGAGTTTAGTTTTAGTAAGAGTTTTACAGCACTTACCACACATTTAGGTCAAATAAGTGCCGGAGATTAAACAGAGGTGTCCACCAAATAGTAACACACAAAGAAAAGAAGGAGGAGAGATGAGGGTGATCAATTTATTTTTAGGAAAGAAGGAGCAAACCACAAAAGAGCACCCACCCACCAACCACCCACAGTTTAGAGTCTGAGTCTAAGTAAAAAGAAGCACATGTATTGATGCAATGATGACCGTACAGTACAGGCAGAGAGAGTACAGGGAAGAAGCAAAACAGAAGCAACAGAAGGAAAAACAGAAGTAAACAGTGAAGTAGGACCTACCAGTGACACCCTCCAACATCCCACACGGACAGAAAAAAACAAGGAAAAATAGAAGTAGTGAAGTAGGACCTACCAGTGACACCCTCCAACCACCCACACGGACAGAAAAAAACAAGGAAAAATAGAAGTAGTGAAATAGGACCTACCAGTGACACCCTCCAACCATCTGTGCTAAACTTGAGCATTAGCTACGGGAAAACATCAATAATTCCTAGCGATGAGCTCTGGAATTAGCTTGAGAGGATCTATAACGGTCTCTTTTCATTTCATAAAAAAAGAAAAAAAAAGAAAAAAAAAGAAAAGAAAAGCAACATAAAAACAAAAACAACGAAAACAAAACAAAAAACTTGAATAACAAACCAGATGACGTAGATATAAGCAAAGGTCGCGTTTTAGGACACGCGGGCTAACCCAGATTTCGGGGGTTTCCAAAAATCTTGACCTTCACCAAAAGTGAGCATTGCCCTACCTATAGGAGAAGTCTGGTTTCATTGATGTGTATATGAATGTTTGGTTAGGCCTATAGAGAAAACTCTCCTTGTCTTTTAAAGAAACTGAACAAGGGTCCAAAATCTTAACCGTCGACTTTCTCAAAACAGCATTTTTCGGGATAGCCCCCTTGTGCTTAAAAACGACCATATAATAATATTTGTGAGGTGACACTTACAAGCTCATATTATCAACACAGTGACAACATAGTGACAACACAGTGACAACACAGTGACAACACAGGAACAGCAAGCCCCACTCACTTCCTTACCCCCAGAGACCAGGAGAGAAAAGATCTAGTTACGTCCCTTTGTCTGATCAGACCAATAGTAAACGAAGAAAGTTGTACAGCGCAAAGCAAGTAACTATTTTTTTTTTTTATAGTAGAGGTTTTACGGCGCTCGCAACTGCATAAGTCATATGAGCGCCAAGGGGTGGGTGTCAACAGAGAAGTCTTTACAAGGAATCAGGCTTAGATTGCTCACCTCTCTAGTTTCAATAGCACAAAGTCTGCTTCGACTATCAAGGCACCCTGGAAATAGCAGGTCACAAGAGAGTGACAAACATACCAAAGAAGTAGAGGAAAACGACAATAGTAAGGATCAGGAAAGAAAAAGCAGCAGTTCCTTATTGTAGATCAGGCACAGTTATGAGCGTGACATGAGTCAGCCCATTTACAATTCTACAGCGCTTGAACGAGAAATGTCCCCCCTTTGGGAATGGTCTAAAGACACTACAGTCAGTGGCGCTACCCTGGGGGTAGCAAGTCACTATTCTATCTGATCCTATTTTTTCTGGTATGTCCCGTGTCCGCAGCTAAAGTGTTCATGAAGATACAAACATTGCCAAGTCCATATGAAACTTGCACATACATTAGGCCCTACAGTAAAATACATTTTTAAACTGTATTTTTATTTCTAAAAAAAAAAATTCTATTTTTCCCCTACTATAATAGGACCCCC